TCAGTCATGGGGCTTGAACTCTGGGCCTGGGCGCTGTCCCTCAGCTCTTCAGCTCAAGGCTAGTACTCTACCACTTGAGCTACAGTGCCACTTCCGGTTTTCTGGTGGTTTTATTGGAGATAAGAGTTTCATGACCTTTCCTGCCTGGGCTGGCTTTGAACCGCGATCCTCAGATCTCAGCCTCCTGAGAAGCTAAGATTACAGACATGAGCCACCAGCGCCCAGCTTGTTTTTAAATATTCACTTCAAAACAACAATAAATCCACTGCATTTCAGTGCATTTTTATGAAAACTAATTTCACAAAACAAAAAAAAAATAGCAAGAAGACTATCATGATTTTACATTTTTTAGGTCTTTAAAATATTGTGTAAGTATTGAAAATATTGCATAATAAATTATAGTTATATTTGCATAGCTGCTTCTAAATTCCCTTTGAGCAAATATGGTTATGATATGTAGCAAAAAGTATGGCCTTCCACAGATATGTAGATGGAAATAGTATTTTAATAGTCTTTTGACATGATTGCAGATATTCTTGTCAAAGAGTATGGTATACTTGTTGGATATGGTGGTTCACCTTCTGTAATCCCAGCTACTTGAAAAGCACAGATTAGGAAAGTCCAGATTTGAAGCCACGCTGGACAAAAGTTAGTGAAATCCCATCTTAATAATGATAATAATAGTAATAATAACAATAATAAAACTAGGCATAGTGATACATGTCTGGAATCCCAGCTACATGGGGGTCATGGCGAGGTAGAGTGTGGCCCAAGGCCAATCAGGGAAAAAACGTATGACACATTATTTGAAAGCAAATAGCTTAAAGCAAAAAGGGCTAGGAGTGTGGCTTCAGTAGTAGAGTACCTGCCAAGCAAGTGCAAGGTACTGTATTCAAACCTCAGTACTGAAAAACAAACAAAAAAACACCTCACAATACTGTACACTTAATAAGGTACATTTCCTTTAAGGCTGGCTGCGATCAACACGTGAAGCAGTATCAATTAACCTCTCATATTTTATTACATTATATGGATTTTTGTCAGTACTTTCCATGGATTTTTCACCTAACCAAGATGTGTAGCTTCTGTAACATCATACGCTGGACATTGAAATATAGGTATTCACTCATGTTATAGATCTTCTAAATGCTAACACATTTCCTTACACAATATAAAAACATGCTGTTTGTTAATATCACTACTGAACTCATCACAAAAGTCTTTATTGAGAAACTGTCAAGTTCACCAGAGGAAATACAAGCTTCCCAAATTCTAATTATCACTTGAAAGCTCAAATTCTGTCATTGGCAATAAATTCTATCAGCTGTTTTTTTGTCTTGAGATGACAGGCTTATTTCATTCACTTCTGAGAAAATGTCCACCAAATTACCATCGTCCGAGCCACAGCAGTCTGTCCGTCATGACAGTGCTTCGCTAAGGGGCGGCTGGCTGGGAGCTCATGAAGGCAATGCTGACTCGGTTTTCCTGGAGATACACATGAGACCACGGAAGGTGATCAGAATGGCATGTGAATACTCCGAAGATGAGCATTTGAGGAGCTAATCAATTTTTTTGTTTCATCCAAGACATTCTTATATGAAATGGAGCCTTCTTTCTGTGTGGGAAAGGGAAAAACTACAGTAGTTCGGTGCTACTGTCTTGACACGGTTCAATTCAGTGAAGTAACCCAGACAACTTTACCTGCTTTTGATTTTGTGCCATCCATGCAGATGCCAACAGAGGGGAGCAAGGTAAACGTTATCTCCATGACAGGAAAAGGTTTTGGTCATACAAAGTCCACACGTACAGCATGTCTAGGAAGATAACTAACACCAGGAAGGCCATCTGTCGCGAGCAATTTGGATCCCGGGCCTCCTGATCTGAAATCTCTCTTGAGCATCTTCTGCACGGCTAATCCCACCCCCATTCTTCCCTCTCCGGCTGCCCAGTTGCTTCCTGTCGCTTTCCAACTCCCCATCCAACACAGAGCTGTGGTTCAAGCCCAAGAGTTAACACCGAGGCCTTAATAAATATCTCTATGGAACTAAATTTTTCCGGCTTCACTTTTTTTTTTTTTTTTTGGGGGGGGGTCTGGTCATGGGGCCTGAACTCTGGGTCTGGGCAATGTCCCTCAGCTCTTCAGCTGAAGGCTAATGCTCTACCACTTGAGCCACAGCGCCACTTCCGGCTTTTTTGTTTTTGCTTATGTGGTGCTGAGGAATCGAACCCAGGGCCTCAGGCATGCAAGGCAAGCGCTTTAACCACTGAGCCACCTTCCCAGCCCCCCGGCTTCACTTTTGTTGTTAATTCTGGGACCTGTGTTTCCGTGTCAGCTCTCTGGCTTCAGGCCCCATGATCTGATCAAGAGCAAGGTAAGCTCGCCTTGGTATTTTGTTTTTCTGGACCACTGTGAGGTGACCTGCCAGGGTGCACCTCCCACTAGTACTGTCTTGCAATGTATGGGGGCCAGAGGAGACAATGGGAAGAAGATTTATAGCAATTAGCCTTATAACTATAAAGCTGCAGTGCTATAGAATTATAATGATCAGAATCAATTTGTATCAATTGAGCAACTAGAGATTTGGAATCAATTAATATGGCTTACGAATATATCTAGCTAGAATATAAAGTACAACTGTTTCTGTGGTCTTACAGCTTGTGAGACTAGTGAAAACAAGATTTCATCTGGTCAAGGGGCAGTCGCTGAAGTGAGTACACAGACCAACTGTAGTTGGCTGTGTGCTCATCCACTGCTATCCACACAGTACTTTCTGAATATGCATCTGGAGTCCATGCAAGGGGGAGACCTTGGAAAAAGCATTGTTTAATTAAAAAGTTGGACTTCGGTGTACACAGGACAAGTTAAACATATCATTTTCTGAAAATAGCTTTCAGCAAATAACAAACTAATTTAGAACCAGAGTAATATGATTTTCAAGTTACCTTATTAATTCATTTCTTAAATCATGAAAGAAGTTTCCTTCTCCTTGTACACTTTTTCTTATATCCCTTTTGTGAGTGTCTTGAATTTGGGTTTTCACATCGGTACAACTCCCTTGCACTCTAGCCAGCTGAGCTCCCTCATGGATTGTATGTGGGAAATAACCTCCCAATGGTTTAAGAATCAGATACAGAATGGAAAAATGTCCTGTGTGCCTTTCTTCAAGGAAAGCCCAGGAAGGTCTTGGAGACTTGGAAAAGATGTCTCATGCTGTCCTAATAGTGCAAGGCAGCACTGTGATGGAATTCTAGGAGATACCACAAGTCTCTGCTCTGTAGAAAAAGGCTGAAGATGGACAATAAGAAAGCAAAAGCCCATGAGGACTCCCCATTCTACTGGCAGGTCCCCGGGGCCAGGAATCCTCAGTGCAGCTACTCCCCTTCTTCACAAACAGGAACACACTTGATCTCATGGCCACCGAGTAACAGTTCTTCATAGGATCTGGGCAATGCATGCACACTGGTCCAGATTAGAATATTGGTCCCATCACTTACAAGCCGGGTGACCTGAGGCTTAACCTCTCTAATCTTCAGAGACCTCGTGTATAAAATAGAGTCAGAAAGGAGCTCCATTTTATGAACTTTTATTGTAAGACTGGAGAGAGATGGTCTGTATAAAGTGCTTAGCAATGCTGGTATGCAGTAAGTCTGAAATGACAGCATTACACTTCTGTAAGCACAAGCCATGTTTCCTAGGAGAAGAAAGGAACCTGGGCCTTCAGATATATTCTTAGATAGCTTTCTAGATTCCATGGCACTTTTTTGTTTTCATTCTTCAAGACAGTATAGTTCACACCAGCTTTCTCTACTTTCTCATGTGTGTGTGTGTGTGTGTGTGTGTGTGTGTGTGTGCACGTGCGCATACTGGGGCTTAAACTTACTTGGCTTTTTGTTATAGCAATAAGAGACTGGACTCAGATTTGGCTATCCAGGCTGGCTTCAAACTTTGATTCTCAGATCTCAGCCTTCTTAGTAGCTAGGCTTTGCTCTACTTTCTAATTGCCAATTTACTTCTGATCTCAGGGCCTGCCTCTGTCCCTACTATTTCATTCATACTGCCATCGTGAACTCTCCATGTTTGCATTATTGCCAAATCCAAGGGATCTTCAAGTGCTTACACGTAGCCATCTCCTGGTGGTGTTGAAGACTATGGATCATTCATTTGTTTTCTTCCTCCTCCTCCTCATTCTCTTCCTCTTCTTCCCCCCTCCTTCTCCTTTTTTTTTTTGGGTCCGGTCGTGGAGCCTGTACTCTGGGCCTGGGCGCTGTCCCTCAGCTCTTCAGCTCAAGGCTAGCGCTCTACCACTTGAGCCACAGCGCCACTTCCGGCTTTTTTCTTTTTGCTTATGTGATGCTGAGGAATGGAACCCAGGGCCTCATGCATGCAAGGCAAGCACTCTACCACTGAGCCACCTTCCCAGCCCCTCCTTTTTTTTTTGGTAGGTCATGGGGCTTGAACTCTGGGCCTGGGCACTGTCCCTCAGTTCTTCAGCTCAAGGCTAGCACTCTACCACTTAAGCCACAGCACCACTTCCAGCTTTTTCTGCTTATGTGGAGGAACCGAACCCAAGGCCTGATACATGCAAGGCAAGTACTCTACCACTGAGCCACCTTCCCAGTCTCCATTCACTTGTTTTCTAAAGTCTTGTCTTTTAGCTACCAGTGATCCAGGGCCACATCTTTGTTTCTGCTTTTTTCATTCTATAGATCTTCTTGTGTGACCTCAACATACCAACAATTTCAGGCACCAAAGACTTTGGTTCACCAGTTGATTCCATCTGGCTTGTGGTCTGCAGAGGAGACCCTGCATGTACACTGCATGTAAGAGAGTGGATTCTAAAGGCAGACAAGCCTAGATTCCAGACACTTCCCTGTGCTTACCAGGTGTTTTGTTTGGCTATGACAATATTCCTTGACTATTTATTTATGTCTTGGTGCTGGTTCTGGGGCTTGAACTCATGGCCTGGATGCTGTTTCTTAGCTTTTTTTTTTTTTGTTGCTGTTGTTCAAAGCTAGAGCTCTCTCATTTGAGCCATGCTTCTTTTTCCAGCTTTTTGCTGGTTGAGTGGAGATTAAGAGTCTCGTGGACTTTTCTTGACTCTCAGATCTCAGCCTCCTGAGAAGCTAGGAATACAGGCATTAGCCACCTGTACCTGGCCTTAACTTAGTTCAGATCACTTCTGTTCCAGGATGTCCGACCATATGCTATTAGTTTTGAAGTTTTGATCTCACCTGCCCCCACTCCCATCATCCTTCACTCTCCATGACCCAGACTTAGCACACATCTTCCTGTTCCTCCTCTCTCTTGGCCTGTGTCCCAGCATTCCTTCCACCACAATGTCCATAGCTCCACCCCCCTGTGTCTGCCAGGATGGCTCCTGTTCCTCAGCTTCCAGCTTGAGCATGGGACTAAATGTCCAACAATGGGAATTAGGTTGGGATAGTTCCAACAGCCAACAACTGACAGATTGCTTAGACAGACAATGCTGGCTTTAAGACATATGTTTCATAATCCTATTTTGGTAGGGAAGAATGAATATATACTCAGAAAAGGATTTAAAAAGTTATTCTAGAGGTTTCAGCAGTGATTTCTGAAATGTAAATGGGATTGAAGCTTGTTTGCTTGTCTCTATAGCTTCTGTAATAAACAAACATTGCTCCTGCAACTAACACTCCCCCTCCCATATTTTCAGTAAGATACTTTGTAATACCTGGGCATTTTAGTGGTTCATTAATACAATAGATTTAGACAAGGATGACTGGTACAGAAAAACAACTTGGAAAGTAACATGAAATAAGTAGTAAAAAATAAGTACTACTTAAGAACATGAAAATGGTCACATGCTATAAAAAATGAGCAGGACAGAGAAAACAAATACTCAAGAGATTAACTTTCAACCAATGTGTGATTTCAGCAAGATTATTGGGTTGACTACATTGCTGGTACTAGGGCTTCAACTTCGGGTCTTGCACCTGCTTGGCTTTCTTGCTCACAGTTGGTGCTCTATCACCCAAGCCACATTTCCACATCTGGGATTTACTACATTGTATTTTCCTGAATTCAATGTTATTATTAACTTTACCTTCTTTTTTTTTTTTTGTCGGTCATGGGGCTTGAACTCTGGGTTTGGGCGCTGTCCCTCAGCTCTTCGGCTCAAGGCAAGCACTCTACTGCTTGAGCCACAGCACCACTTCTGGTTTTCTAGTGGTTTTATTGGAGATAAGAGTGTCACAGACTTTCCTGCCTGGGCTGGCTTTGAACCACCATCCTCAGATCTCAGCCTCCTGAGTAGCTAGGATTACAGGCGTGAGCCACTGGCACCTGGCTAACTTTACCTTCTTGACAACTGATTTTCTCTTTGCCACATTAGGAAAACAACTGAACTCCTCAGAGCACATCGCTCCTTTCTTCTGATCACTGATCTACCTACTTATTGCCATCTCATTGCCACAGGTCCTCTTTCTTTGTACCTTCCCAACAGTCATGTGTCTTTGTTCTGGTAAAGCAACTTTGTGGTCCTGGAGCTGTCATGTAGTTTCAGTTTTCTATGCCTTTGCATTTGTGTTCTCTTAAATGCCTCTTAGCCACATGCATGTGGCACATCTACTTGCACT